GAAAATCTTACTCTCAGAAGTTGAGGAAAAAATGGGCATTTAATGAAAATCTACAATCTTGTTGGGAAAGTGAAACATTTTCCAGTATTGATAAGACAATTTCTAGTAAAGTTATCTTCTAGAATTAGCTGGGGTTAAGCTCTTAAATCAAATTTATTTTTCTTTCTTATATTCCTTGCTCTCAGTCACTGTCAAGGAATGGAATCATCTTGGAAGAATAAACGACTGTTTAGGAAGGTAATTTACTATCCTTGAGTAGAGAGATACCAAGCTATCTAGATTATTCCCATGCTAATGACAGAAACTGAAGGATTCAATGCCACAGATTGCAAGGGGTCTGTAATGACTCTTCTCCACTTGTGTCAGGTATTTTCTAAAGAAGGGTGGTATTGTACTTCAAAGTTATAGTTTTGTAAAGACAACGATTAAGGAAACACAACTAGCTATGCATATGTTGCTGAATCATATTTTAGGGGATGACTTATGACTCTAGAGTGATTATACTCCTGGAAAAGTGTTAAGTAATTTAGAAGAACCAAAATTATGCTTAGCAAGACCCACAGGTATGATCAAGGAGCTTTAAACTGAAACCAAAGGATAAGAAAATTCCTCAACTAAAACTCTGAGACTATGAACAATAACGACATCATAGGAGAGAAAAATAAAGTAGAACTACCAAGTTAAGAGATATAAACAAACAGAAAACAAATCCAACCACCTAAAAAGAAGTGTGTATATGTGTATTTGTACATTGCAAACTTGAAATTTCAAAGTAAGTAAATTTCAGGGACTAACACTTATTGGGAAGGAATTCATGAATGGCAACTGACATTTGAAAGGAGTATGTTACAATGTTATATAATGGAAGGCAGAAGATACTTTTAAACCAAAATACCTTTAAACCAATTCATATAAACTACACAGAGATTCTTGAACAAGGGATAAAGGAATCACTAAGCTAAGTTAAAAGAAGGTAAAGGATGTATTACCAGAGGGGACGTACTTTTTTGTTGCCTGATCAGATGGAGGATTTAGGTCAAGTTTTCCTGAAACAGGCTGCAAACAAACACAAGGATAAGATAGAACCATGATGGGTGGGTGATATTAGCTCTTTACATGTACTGGTAGCTTTAAGTTCGTTCAAATCAGAGCATCTGACAGACTTCTAAGTTAGCCTGTTGAAAACTGCATCCTTCAACAAAGGAAGCAATGAGGGGAACTGATTTAACAATTTCATGATTAAGTTTAAACAAAAAGCCAGAACTGAATGATGATGCAGAGTGACAAGAAGTCTAGTGACTATGCCAATGAAAGACAATTCTGGGCTCTGTCAAACAAGTTGCTACATCTGCAGTTGGATATTTTGAAGGTCACTCATGATAGTCTTAGGAGAAAGGAAAAATAGTGGATTTATAGAAAGCTTAGTAACTGTCATCTGAAGAGTAATGATCAGAAGGCTCACATCAACCCTGAGGGTCTATTTTTGGTTCAGTTCTATAAAATATTTAAAATCAATAACTTGAAAAAATAGGACATTTATACACTTCCAGGGGATACAAATTGGGAAAGAGTTAATATGCAGGATAGAACAGTACATTCAACAAATACTGGGACTTCCCTGGTGGTCCAGTGGTTAAGACTCCACACTTCCACTTCAGGAGGTGTTGGCTTGATCCCTGACTAGGGAAGTATGATCCCACATGCCACTCAGTGTAGTCAAACAAAAATAAAAAAGAACAACAAAAAACAGATATCGAAGGAGCAACCTTATAGGCAAGGTGATAAAGTGAATTATGAAGACCGGTCAAAGCACAGGTCTCTTGCTCATGATTTTCTTTTCAACACAGTAGATAAAAATATTTTTAAATTATCAAGGAACAAGATATGAAGTGATAAAAAAATACAGATAAAGTGGTTGAACAGATAAATGAAGGGAGACATCACCTCTGGCTTTGTATGTCAGTGGGTTCAGGATTCGGGGTAATTTAGTTAAAGTGTTTACGTGAACACGTCAGGTGAGTAGAATTTGGACAGGTAGTGATCAAGAGGAGGATTGAGATTCAGAGGTGGAAAAGCATGGAGCTTATATTGAGAAAGTTCTGTGGTTTTGTCTTAAGAATGAAATGTAGGGCAGGGAGCAATAGGATACAAAAGTTGGGTAATAAGGTTCTGGGATACAGGTTGGCACAATGAACTAAAAACAATAAAATTAAATTTAACTTGGATGAACTTATAATTTCAAAGCAAAGATGTTGGTCCCTGCTTTCTTCTTGAAAATTATTACCCCCAAATACTAAGGCAAAAAAGAAATAACACGAACTCCAATTTTATTGACTAAGAGGCATCCATGAACCACAATAAATGGAAATTAAAAGCAGATAAAAGAATGACTTAGCAGAGCAAAGGCAGGCCAAGTCCATGTGCCTGAAGAGGAGGATACCACAAAGCAGCAGCACTTCCAGAACCCTGGAAATGTTTAGGAATTAGAAACACCCATACCAGAGGCAGAAGGAGGCAGAGGACTAAAATCAAGAATGTTGGGTTAAGAACAGCAAAAAAACTCAGGCAGAAGAAATTAAACTCCTGCTCATGGCCACACCAAACAAAAGGGATGGGCTTGAGCTAAGAGCCAGGTACCACTATAGAATAAGATAGTTTAAAAAACTATAGTTTTAAAAATTAGTTTAAAAAATAAGAAAAACAACAATTAATTGCTTCTTAAATGTTTTTAGATAAAAATTACTTGAATGATGTTATAAAACACTGTAAAATATTTTTAAACAGCTCTTAATCAGAAGAGCATTTTCCAAAACACATATGCTCTGGCTCCAAGTCCCAACTGCAGAGATTCTCGTTTAATGGGTGGGAACTAACAACCTCTATCCAGAAAACTTTCTTACTCTAAAGACCACTGAGCTAGTGTAAAAAAAGTAATCTATCACCAAAACCTATCAAAGGTTAAAGTGACATTTCATTTTCATTCATAGGTAAACCCTATGTACCTGCTGTGGTTCTAGGATCTGGGAATACCAAAGTAAACAAAAAATTTCCCACACTTGTGGAGTTTATATTCTAGAAGCAGGAGAGACACCAATAATGTGTGTAAAGTATGTAGTATTTTGCCTGTAATTGGATGGTCATATGAAGAAAAATACAGTTGGGAAGGAGTCAAGGGAGTGGGACCAGAAAGAAGGTAATATTTCTGCAAGTATTTGAAGTAAGAGAAGGAAAAAATGATAAAGATATTTGGGAAAAGTGTTTCAGGGAGACAGAACAGATGCAAAGGCCCGAGTTAGGCAACTGTTCATGGATTTATTTAAGGAATACCAAGGAGGCCCGCAGAGCTGGAGCACAGTGAGTGAAGAGAAGAGATTAAAAATTTAATAAGGGAGCTGAGTTGTATAGGATCTCACAGGCCTGTGAAGGACTTTGGCTGTTATTCCTAGTGAAATGACAAGCTACATGATTAGAAGAATGAATATGTGAAGAATCCATTTACAGATATACATACAAACATATGATATACGTTATATATGAGATTCTGAAAAGCAATGAAAATTTTCTAAGTAATTAATAACAAAAATAAAAATGTCAAGTGCTGTCTGGAAACCTTAGCTGGCTAAACAAATCTAGAGAATACTTAATATGGTACTTTAGAACAAGTGTTTAATAAATATTTGTGGAATAAATGGACAATGAATTTATACTGAAAAAGGAGAATGAGAGTTTCTCAAGTTCTTGTAAAATCTGAGGCAATGTATTAAGAATATAACAATTACCCTAAGATGTGGTCTTTTATTAAATATTTCAAGGTAGTCTTACAGATACAAAGTATATTTTACTATTTCCTAATTATATCAGGCAAGAAGAGACTAAATAAAAAGCCTTTCACAGTTACTCTGAGACTTTTCATCTTTTGTTTGAAAGAGTCAAAGACATAGTTTTTAACAGTTCATATTTTAAGCTTAGCTTAAGCTTTCATTGGTTCTAGTTTTAAAAAGTCATTCATCATGATTCACACTCAAACTAGTGCCATTTTATTAGTTTAAAAAATTTATATATTTTCACCCCGAAGTCTGCTTTTTTCTCCCCAAAGTCTAAAATCCAGAGTTTTGACTGTTAATGAAGAATTCTGAAAGTGATAAAGTCATTTCTTCTGACATCTAGAAAAAGTGAATGTACTTTCTTCTCTCCATTGTCACCACTGTAGCTTCTAAATAAGCCAATCTACTCTTTCTAGTTGTCAGATAGTCTTTGTTTTTAAATTATTTTGGTGATAAATAATGTCAAGGTCAGCAAAACTGTTCTTATTTAACATTAGTATACTTCCTGTGCCTGATAACAAAATTTTACAAAACCATTAATTTTTTGACCAACTGAAAAAGGACAGTTAGCTCCTTCCACTACTGTAACAGGACTTTCTACAGGAATGAAAAGAAACTAACTTCTGCTGTCACAAAACAGCAAATATTGTATAATTTTTTTTTGCATCATACCATGTTAATGATGATTTCTTAGAAAAATTACCCATTCTCAAGTCATAATATTAAAAGCATTACTTTATATGGCCAAGTAACTTATGCTCTTCTCTGTGAACCAAATTATTGATATGTGAAATTCAGAATAAAAATACACAAAAACCCATGTGTTAGAATATAGGAAATTAAGCTTAAGTTATATGATGTACTAAGTGAATAATTCACTTTAATTCTTCTATCTGATACATCCAAGATTTCCAAAGATTATGAAAGGCAGAAAGTTTACATAAATCTATATCAAACTATACTAATTTGAAGTGTGAGATCAGTTTTAATTAGAAAGACTTGACTTTTGCTTACTCTTTATCAGGGCATTCATTAAACATAGGAAAGAAGTAAGAGGACAGAAAACTTGGTCACTTGGTTTAGCAGTTTTCTCAGATTGAAATAACAATGAAACCTCCAGGGTTAAGAATTTCAAAGGAGGCTGCAAGACAGAGAAGACAGACCAAATCAGCTTACCACTTGAACCATTTTGAGATATCTGGCATATCTTGGATCCTTGGCTACAGTTAAGATATTTTCTGGTGTTACTTCACTTTCCTGTGGTCCAGAGTCTTGTAAACTGTTCTGCTGTAGAGAGCATGGTGTATAAATCTTTAGACAATTCACAAAAGGGGTCCATCATGTTACTTAAAAGGGATGTTTCTTTTTATTATTCTAAAGCAAACAATATCAGAAAAAAAATCATATTTCTAAATTTAAATACCAATAATTTAATTATAGGATATATGTTCTCAAATATTTACAAATACTTAAATGTGATTGCAGAGGAAGTTACATGTAATGTCAACACTATATTGTTCCTACAAAAGTGCAAATATATTCAAGGCATTAAAAATTAAAATTCTGCTTTACTTGTCCCTTGAGTATGGATACAAAACATGAATTATTGACGGACCTATTATTTTAATAAAACTTTTTTTTAAATAAAACTTTTAATAAAGCTAGTAAAGCTATTTGAATTGTCAACTGTTCAACTCCAGTGGACAGAAAATCGATTTCTAGGTATCTATACTATCTACACAATTATACTTCTCATTCATTGAATAATCTTGTTCTAAGTGGATACGGCTATTCTAACATCTCTTAAGGCAAGGCCTGGAGAATTTGTGGAAGAGAAGCTCATTTCTCAAACAAAATTATGTTTATATATATTTCAGCTACTGATGGAGTTATTAACATTCTCCACAGACTGGTTAAGATTATAACTACTACTTATAATGAAGAATAATGGGGAGTGGTCTTTTTGGATAAACATGGTTTCATCATACAGGCAGGTCTCAACTTTGCACGGTACCATGTAAACAGTAACTCGTCCAAGCTAGAATCCTATCTTCATTTAGCTGCAAAGCCAAGACTGTCTGTATATAGTTCTTGATTTTTCTATCAACCTAAACATTTACAGTAAGTCTACTTAGTGACTTACTATATGTTAGCATTAAGGGTAAGTTCCTTAACTGAATGATATCAATTTTATGTCTGCATGTCTCTGTTGAAGTGTAAATAAATAAAAAAAAATCTTTCAGTATTCACAGTTACTAGAATATAAATTATATATTAAGGTTTTTCCCTAGATAATTCAAATGTAAATTAAATCTCTTTTAAATGCTGAAGCAAGTAAAATATCCCCAAATTCTTTAGGTTACTCCAGTTATATGACAGTGTCAAGTGTACACAAGTGCACATATGTTGTGTGTAAATATGTATATACATATACACATCCATCTGCAAAATACATTACAAAATGTCCAAAACATTTAATTAAACAAAAAATTTCAACAAGACCCATGTATGCTTTTAAAAAAATAAGGACAATAAACTCATACAATAGCACAATGGAGCAAATGGTAATTACATATAAGACCACTGGATTTTAAAACTCAGCCTTTAACTTCAGCCTAACAACCAAGACCTCAACAAGGTTTAATTATATCAGGTCTTACACCTTTGCTATTTGTATGACCCATTAAATCCTCTATCAGATTTCTCAACTGTCCTTCATTTTATTCTCAACTTAATCTCAATCTGTACAATTAGATGTTCTACTGTGAGTAATGATAAGGTCTGAACCATGAAATTAAAGGTGCAGAAAATTCAGTATGCAAACCTTGGGTCTTTGACTCATATATAGATTAGAGATTGCAATGAATGGATGATGTAAAAAAAAGTTCATGATTATCTTTTAACTGATAAGCAAGTTGACTGTAATGTCAATGGAAATTCTGTGTTAAGCAATACTTCAGTCCATTTCAAAATATTTTACATAAAATATACCAATTAAAAACAATGGAGAGAAATAAAAAGTTGACTTCAATATTAAGAACATGCTGAACAGTTATCTTATTGAGCCAATCAATACACAACTTTACCACATTTTTTAAACTCAGGAAGCCAACAGCACTTTATAAATCCTCCAAATGAATTAATAACTATTTTTTAATAAAATTACCAGAATATCAAGTAATTCTGGATTTTAGATAATTCAGTTGTGATTACTCATAATCAATTTTTTGAGACCTTAAATAGGCAAGACCAACACAACTGCACAAGTTTTAAATACATATTATATATGGGCATGCACAGTAACACTTAGGAAAGTTAATACTGAAAGTCAGATATCATTTTATAAATTTATAGAAACATAATAATGGTTAGTATCCATCAAAGAGTAACTACGAGGTAGAATGGAAACATGTAATAGTTTTTACATATGCCTTGTTTTAGAAAAAGGATGGCTCATCTTTAATTGATAAAGCCTTATAAAGTTAAACTCATCTAAACATCTGAATTTATTTTTGTATATTATATATATATTCCAGTGATCATCACAATGGAATTTGTTCTATTAATTAAATGGATGTTAAATTTTCTAATACTTAACAGTTAAGTGAAGTTAAGTGAAAAAGTCACTCAGTCGTGTCTGACTCTTTGTTACCTCATGGACCTCTCTGGGCCAGAGAATTCCATGGAAATCTCTAGGCCAGAATACTGGAGTGGGTAGCCTTTCCCATCTCCAGGAGATCCTCCCAACCCAGTAATCAAACCAGGGTCTCCTGCATTGCAGGTGGATTCTTTACAAGTGAGCTATCAGGGAAGCCCTAATTGTTAAGTCAACAGTCATCTAATTCATCCGCCAAATATACAATATTTCTAAATATATGGCTCCTCCCACACAGAGCCTTAGACCACATGTGCTCAGTTGGGGCCTACTCTTTGTGCCCCATGGACTGTAGCCCGCCAGACTCCTCTGTCCATGAAATTTTCCATGCAAGAATACTGGGGTGGGTTATGTTTTATGAGTTCAACACAGGTGCTAGAGACAGTGCAGTGTAGCAGAAGAAGAGATAGGATTCTTGACACCAGATTGTTTGGGTAAAAATTCTAGCTCTTACGTTTATTGTTTGACCTTCAACAAGTTAACCTCTGTGTACTTCATTTGACATATCTGTAAAGTATTAATAGAACTGACCAAAGTATTTACTTCATAGGGCTGTTGTGAGAATTAAATGAATTAATTTATAAAAAGCATTTAACAGCACACATACAGTCAGAAACCTTTACATGGGAGGTATTATAATCACGGTCAACATCATTATGATCCAAAAGATATCCCATAAAAAGTACCTCCAGGCACAAATGCAAAATTCCACGTACACAGGAAGTCTGCTTGTTTGGGATTACTTGTTAGACCACCATTTTAGTGATTATTTTATTTTGGATTTTAATACCTCACTGAGATACACTAGCGATTATTCTTAATCAACGAAGAATTTTTATTTCTTGAAATAAAAAGTAATACACAATTTAAATTTATACAGAGCATAAGTGAACGTTAAAACCTAAGAGCCAAACATAGGGTGTGGGCCTTACAAGGACGCTGATTTGAACAAATCAACTCCCCAAACACACTTTTTTAGACGAGTGGTGTTTCTTAGATTAGGAACTCTCAAATTTCAAGAGCCTTCAAATCACACATGGATCTTGTTAAAATGAAGATTCTGATTCAGTGGGTCTGGGGTGGAACCTGAGATTCTGTATTTCTAACAAGTCCTCGGGTAGGTTGCTGGCCCATGGAGCAGAGTTTTGGTAACAAAGAGTTAGATATTATCAGGGAATTATTGCTCATTATACTGTATATGATAAAGGCATTGTGGTTATACAAGAAAATGTCAGAACTTTTCACAGATGCTCAGGGAATTATACATGGGTGAGAAGACATGATGCCTGGAATTCACTTCAGTGACAAAAAAAGACAGATGAAGCGATTGCAACAAAATCTTAACTGGTAAATCCAGGTAATGGGCACTTGGGTAGTCACTGTACTATTCTATTTTTATTCATCTGTGAAAGTGTCATACTAAAAACATTTAAAAGACACATTTCTTATAAGAACTAAGAAAAAAATTTCCAGAGTGAATTTGAAGAAAGTAGTTATGTTCAAGATTATTCCTAGCCCTGTATAAGTCAATTTTCATTTTATATAGGCAAGAAAAATATTAACTTCAGGAAACTGTTCAGAATAACAAAAGGAAAAGCTAGTAACTTGTTTCAAACTTTATTTTTTATCTTAAATGTTACTAGTCCAAGTGCTACATTTTTATTTACCTTCTTTATCTGAACCTGCAGATTTGGTCTATCTGGTTCACCCAAGAAGAACTGCTCATGCTTCCTGGGACTTGATTACATACCTGTGATTGCTCTGAAGTGGCTTCAGAGTGTGTTCCATTTGTGATCCTAGTGACATTTACAGGAGATACTTCAAATGTGACATCATCTAGGCCCGGGATAGATGATAACTGAGAGGAGAAAATTAATGTTGGTATATGAGGATAATACTAGATCTTTAAAGACTAAGTTTCCAAGTGTGGTGTGTTTTAAATAGTTTTCTTAAGTTTTTAAGCTATAGAAGTGGGTTTATAAAATCTCATCTTTGGTTGAAATTCTCAATGCCATAAACTACTTAAAAGTGAAAGGCATTGACAACTAAAATATTTTTGAAGAATTTCTCACTAATCTCATTTAGCTTATCAACATTCTTTCTCAGCAATTATTATTTTTTTTAATAAGGAATCCTAGGGTAAGGAATGAGAGCACGGGCTTTAGAGTCAGATTGCCAAGGTTTAAGTCACAACATATGTAACCCTGTGCAAAACTTCCTAGGCCTCAATATTTTCACCTGTAAAGTGGGGATGAGAAAACTTATGTCCCAAAGTTGTAAAAATATTTTGATTAAAGATAGTTTGTTCCCCTTCAAAACGCGCTCCATAGCACATTTTCAGTTTGAATAATCTGGGAAATGAGAAAACTCCTGCCACATGGTAACACATGGTGCAGCTTACTCTTTTCTTCTTTCTTTAGTAATATCACCGAATGTTACTACAGTGTGTTATTTTCCATACACAAAAAATGAGCATGATGTCAGTGGCTAAGCATTTTAGGCTGGATTTCCAAGACCTATGCAAACATTCTTTTCTGATTTCAACCTGGTATCAGTGACACGCATCTGTCAAATGTTTGGCGAACCGTGAGGATTAACTCTATGGTCATGGAAATAATTAAGGCTAACCTGTCCACATGGCAACTTAACTTGTGACCATGGACTCTAACTTAAGAATTCCACAAACATTAAAATAATACACATATTCATAATAAAGAATAATGAAAAAGCAATGGCAATAAGATCTAAAGCAGCAATATTCATTGAAAACTGTTGACTGATGACAGTATTTAGCACAGTGGCCATGGCCCAAATAGTTTCAAGTGGGTATGGCTGCTAAGAGACTATTTTGAACATGTTCCAGGCCAAATATCCTAAATTACAAGCTAAAGAAATGTTCTGAGGGAAATACAGTAGCTGAAGACCACAGGAAGATGTAGAAAGCCCAAACCAGACATTCTGATCCCTATGCTAGAAGATATTAGTCATTTCACTTCCTCCAGTTCAGCTCAGTTCAGGCACTCAGTCGTGTCCAACTCTTGGCAATCCCATGGATTATAAATAGTCAATAAACATTTTTTCAGGTCAATTTTTTTTTGATAAAAAAACAAAGTCACAAAAATATATTAGCATCTCTATTATTTTATATACAAGAAAAGCACACAAAACCTGCAAGCTTTCAAATCCAAACAACCTTCTATTTTTGCTTTTATGTGACAGTTACCTTTTGTGATTTCTGATCAGAATTGGTTCTGTTTGCTAGCATTTAATATATTTACAAATGGAAAATAGCTGAGATTTTCTCCAAATTTTGTTCTGGAGACATGTAAAGTTTTACAAAATTTTTCCTGTGTTATCAATGACTACTATTAAGATAATTGTGAGTTTTCCATTAAATGAAGCAAACTATGTAACAGTCAACTTGTTAACATGTTATTCATTATGTTTTTGATTAAATAATGAAAGAAACCTCGACCCATGTGTATACTTAAACAGACTCAGTTAGTGGTTCATAATGAAGATTATTTCCATTCGGTTCAGTTGCTCAGTCATGTCTGACTCTTTGCGACCCCATGAACTGCGGCATGCCAGGCCTCCCTGTCCATCACTAACTCCCAGAGCCCACCCAAACCCATGTCCATTGAGTCAGTGATACCATCCAACCATCTCATCCTCTGTTGTCCCCTTCTCCTCCTGCCCTGAATCTTTCCCAGCAGGGTCTTTTCAAATGAGTCAGTTCTTTGCATCAGGTGGCCAAAGTATTGGAGTTTCAGCTTCAAAATCAGTCCTACCAATGAACACCCAGGACTGATTTCCTTTGCAATTATAATAAATTAAACCAATGAAAGCACTGCATCACTTCATGGATGCAGGAGCTAAATTGAATTCATTCCTAAGTACAATTAAAGTTAAATGTGACTGAGAAAGTTGATGTATGTAGAGCAAGTTTATCCTATAAATTATTCAGAAATACAAACCTTTGCATCTAAAATATTGAGAGTTGTTTCAATCTGCTGGATACGAAGAGAAAGGTCTGCTAGTTTCTGAAAAAGAACGATTAGAAACAAAAGGATAAAGTTAAAACTATGGTTTAAATATTTGAGATTTTCTAATATACTACTCTTATTTACATAAGTAAGAACTGAAATTCAAGTTTTCAATTAGCATGTTTCATGGTTATTTTATAAAACTGTATTCATAGAGAAGAAGTTACATTTTCAGTCTTATTAAACTCATTATCAGAGCCATAATCAATCACTGGAACCAGAATGTAAACTCCTCTGAAGACAAGAGTTTTTACTCGCTGTTACAGCCCTTGTGCCCAGAGCAGTACTTGACACTTAACAGGAGCCCGATAATTACATGTTGCTGAATGAAGGAATTCTTCATAGAACCCAGGATTAAAAACTAGTCCCAAACAGAAAGGAGCAGGGTCTGCCTTTATATATTACTTAGACACATAATTATATACAATTAGTCCCGAATTCAAACTTTTCGAGTTTGAAAAGTTTAAAAAAAAGATGAAATTGGAAGACAAGTAGTTAATGTCAGGAAGAATTAAAACAAAGAGAAAAAATAAGAATACTAAAAAAGCAAAAGGAATCAACCCAAGATAAACCAGAACAAGAGCTTACCGTGTTTCAGTTATTCTGTGCCACTAAATGAGCCATACTTACATGTTGTGTGTTAGTTGCTTAGTTGTCTGACTATTTGTGACCCCATGGTCTGTAACCTGCTAGGCTCCTCTGTCCATGGGATTCTCCAGGCAAGAATACTGGAGTGGGCTGCCATGTCCTTCTCCATTTTAAAGTATGCTCTTGATATCTTTTATAATCCCCCAAATTTTATTTTATGCATTTAAAAACATTAATTTCATTTCACTAGACTGCCAAAGGATCCATGGCAAAATTAAGAACCTCTGCTTCTCAAAGATTATTCCGCATAATAAATGTTTTTGAGTCTGTTCCCATGTAATTACTGCTGTAACACACATACATATGTACTTTCTAAAGATCCACTGTCAATTGACAAAATACACCTGGTTTCATTTATGGGCTGCTAAAGCTCATTTCTATGATGTTTATGTCTTCTGCATTTTCCTTCTCAACTCCTAGATCACCAGAAAGCAGGTTTCTCAGTCTTGACTCAGCTCCATTGACTTGGTCTATTTTGGGCTGGATAATTCTTTGTTGTAAAGGTCTATCCTGTGCACTACAGAATAGTTAGCAGAATCTCTGACCTCTACCCACTAACTGCCACAAAAACTCCCCAGTGGCAACAACTAAAAATGTCTCTAGACATTGCCAAATGTTCCCTGGTTGAGAACCACTACTCTGACGTGTAGATGACTATGGATATAAGTAACATGATCAATAACAGTAATTGTCCCCACCTCTGAAAGTTTCAGCAGAGAGGAAACAGAAAGGTATGTCTACTTTCCCATCTATTTAACCATCCATCCTCTTTATAAGGATTTAAAGCAAACCTGAAATATCTTGAGTTGGGACCACAGGGGAATTTACAAGATTCCTAGTTTGTCAGATAAAGTTGAAGAGCTCTTAATGCACCACCCACCTATTTGCAAGGCAGTGCATTTTACTCAACTGAAAAAAAAAAAGAGGAAGAAATATGGAGCTAAGAGTTGAACATGGGAAAAAAAGTACTGTGGGACTTCAGGTTTGTAAAATATCCAATTTGCAGATCCGGTTCTTTAAAAGAGAAACAGTATTTTAAATGAATAGATCTCCTGGTACATCATTTTGGGTTGAGTGTGTCCTAGAAGCCAGAGAGGGAAGCAACTGATGGTTTTACTAAACTTCATCTGACACTTAAATCCAGCAGTTGTAAAAGTTTTAAAAGCAGTTGTAAAAGCTGAAGCAGTAAATAGGGTCTTCAGCAAAAGCTTACTTGGTTTAAGGTGAAGTCTGATGGTGGGCCTAAAAATTGGACATAGAAGATAAGCACTAAATTTTTTTTTAGGTCATGTGAAAATTCTCAGAGCTTTTGCTTGCATTTGAAGTTTGTTTTTTTTTTTTAAGAAATGTTTTAGAATATTTAGAAATGACTAAATCCCAGTGTTCTAGGCATGTTACAAGTCTGAGTCAAATACACCTGACTGCCCTGTTTGCTGAATACCTTTAACTTTAAAATTCACAATAAGGTTAAACTTCCGCTCAGTCGTGTCTGTGCTATGCACAGAACTTGCATGGTTGTCCATGCACTTCCGATTTAAAATCTGCAATTCCTGTCCCAATGGACTACCACAAGATTGTGATGATTAGGACCAGAACAGAAATGCTTACTGCAGACTTGTGAGGGAAAAGGAGACGACCCTGAGTAACTCTGTAACTTGGGTCAGATTCAACTACTTTCCTTTCTCCATCTTCTAACTTTTCTCTTATCCTGGTTCTAGTCATTAGAAGAGTTACAAAGTAGTTCAGTATCCACAAAATTTTTTAAAAGCTAAGTTCTTCACTTTTCTCTTTATCAAAGAACTCTAAAAGCAGTATTAGTGATGAAGACAGACCCCTATTGGTTTCAAATTTAATTCCCATTTGAGTTTAGCTGTGACTGAAGTTACTGTTTGGGTTTGGTTTAGAGCAGATTAGGTGAAAAAATTAAAACAACCCCCCCCCAAAAAAAACCCCAAACAAACCAAAACCTACCAGGTTTTCTTTTCCCTCCAGTTCACTTCAAGTTCAAAAAGTAACAGCTGAAGTTCAAAAAAATTTTTTTTGGAGGGAAACAGAGTGGTTTTGGTTCTTGTTTAAGGCTTTAACTAAACAAAGACCACAGGTTTAATAGCTGCTATAAACAAATAACAACCCAGTCTGGAAATTGATCTTAACTTGGGAGAAAATGGCCCTTCATGTATGAATATGTACATTATATCCCTGGAGTTTATCACATAAAAGACATTATATTAAATAGAAATGGCATGGTAAAGAAGAGAACACAAATCTAAAAACTAAATTTTGAAATAGCTATAAAGAAGACACTGTAATCTCTCACTTGAAAATGATGTAAACACACCTCTTATTCAGATCAGATGGTGCAACAGAACAGAAGACTGCAGTCAGTTAACAGATCAGAATTGGAATCCCAGCTCTTACTTTCTAGCTGTTTGAATGTAAGCAAGTAGCTACTTGCAGCTACTGCACCTATAAATACTATGCCCTCAAATATACGATGAGTGCATGAATAAATGACTAAGCAAACGATTTAAGCCTCTCTACATCTCAGTTTCTGTATTTCTAAAAAAGAGGTAATTGGACCTTTCTTAAAGGTCTGGGCTGTGATAATTAAGTACATGTAAAGCACTCAGCACAATGCCTAGCACAAAATAAGTACACAATAAATATTATTGTCATCAAACCAAGTAAAAAGTCTACCATTGACATAAACATCCAAGATGAATGCTATGAGATGAATTCTAAATAATAAGTGACAGTCAATCCTAAATTACCATCCATTAAGGAGAAAAAGGCAATTAGCTACTTTTAAATTTCATGAATTTTTGTCAACAAATTTTTTTCTGGGGTTCAAGGAAGAAGTAGGAAATAGTGATACAGTCAAGTTGGAGGGGGGTAGTTGAGAGAGGAACAGAAGGGAGGAAAGAATGAATCATGAGGCTTTGATAATGGATAAGTAATCAAGAAGACAGTTATTATTATATTTTATCTGTACGTGTGCTCAGCTGTGTCCAATTCTTTGAGGCCCAACTCTGAGAGACCTGATTCTTTGAGACCCTATGGACTGTAGCCCACCAGGCTCCTCTGTCCATGAGATTTTTGGGGCAAGAATACTGGAGTGGGTTGCTGTTTTCCTCCTCCAGGGGATCTTCCCCAACTAGGGATCAAACCTGGGTCTCCTGTCTCCTGCACTCCTGGCAGATTCAGCTGAGCCGTCAGGGATTCTCCACTGAAGGGGTATTTAATTTTAAGTGGTCACTGAACTTTTATAAAGTAGAATTTGCAAGCTTATGGACAAATACTGTCATATCTGTGTGGGAATTTTCTCTAGTCTATGGACCGAGCACAATGATTTTCTTTAATATATTAAAGTGTATATAAGTGTATCATGTTCCTAATACACAATAATGTACCCAAGGACATCTATATTCCTATACTTTTTAGGCAGCAACCACCCCTCTACGAACAGTCTCATTCAAGGACTGGATCATTGGGGATACTCAAATGATGAACAGTAATTTCAGCACTCAGTTCATGACACGAAAGTGGAGCCCTAAGGTTTAACATGATCCTCAAGTAGTAAAGAAAACTGATCAAGAATACCTTTTGGTTTTAGATGACTATCCCATTTCCTTGTCCCCTTTTTTTCTTAATACCAATTTCAAGTCATGCTTCCCATTTTCCTTCCCACTTTATTTAGTTTTTTGTTAAGACAGGTGTCCCTGGATCTGGTACCTAACCTGTCACTGGCTTGTGTGTGCATGCTCAGTTGTTTCCGACCTTTTGCGACCCCATGAACTGTAGCCTGCCAGGCTCCTCTATCCATGGGATTTCCCAGGCAAGAACACTGGAGTGGGTTGCCATTTCCTAGTCCAGAGGATCTTCCCTACCCAGGGATCAACCCCATGTCTCTTGCACTGACAGACTCTTTTACCACTGTGCCACCTGGGTCATTGGGTTACTTAATCCTTAATTCACAAGTCATTTGCAGGAAGTATTTTTATTTCTATCATATTTCATGCCCAAGTTATGTTTCTAGGCTACCTCCCCAATCATCTTTTCCATCAAGCAATGTAACATAATTTTAATAGAAACTGAAACAGTGTATATTTAAAATGCAATTCTTAGGGTAAGAGAAACATAAGGAATTTAAAAATTAAAAAAAAATTTTTGTGAAATCTTGGAACTGCTTTTGTTCTGTTTAATCACAATAAACCTTACTGAACTATTTCACAAAGCCTCCAGAAAGTTCATTCAGCAGAGATGGGCTGCAGGAACTGACAGTAATAGAATCAGAGAGGATTTAAGGTATGTCAACACAATTACTGGGGGACAAGAGATCATAGTACATGATCGCATGCACCGTAATTCTTGCCTTACTCATGTTACCTTCCTAAGTGCAAGGTGACATTGGGCCGCTCAGTAAACCAGTATCGAAGGACCTACCTCCTCACAAACTGTAGAAAAGCGGTTGAGGAACTGTACAGTGTGCACCACAAACTGGTTTAGAAATGCCACCGTTCTTTTCTGTTGAATAGCTGGCACCTGTTTTACGTAAAAATAAACACGATCTGTACAGGACGAAACGTACACCATGCAATCACCTTGATATGAATAAGGAGGCGTTCTGCGGTGTGATACAGTTACTGGAAGTACTGCGAATAGTCAATACCTTGTTTTCCTAAACTGTGGGGGTGGGGTGTCCAAAATGACAGAGGCTGCAAAGTTTGAGAACGGGTTCTGGACACAGAGATGCGAATTTTCGCAGATAAAGGCCACACACATAAACACACGCAAAACTGAAGGGCCAAATAGAAGAGGTCGGGTTAGAGGTCGGAACGGGTAAGAGTTCTCACTCCTGAGGACAAGAACTCGTGACTCGGGAAGGGAAGGAGAGGAGAGGCATACTACTCCCGCCCCGCCTTAGAAGGCTCGGGAAGGACCCCTTTTTAAGGTGAACTGTGGGACCCTCCCTCCCAAGAGAGGGGGAAGCCAAGCACAGGCCAGGGTTGGGCTGCGAGGTGGGGTCTCTGGGAGCCCTGCGTCCCTTCCCCATCCTCCTCCCAGGTCGCCGAAATCCAACTCCATCTTTACAAACCTTAGTCAGGTCTATGCCTGAGCCCATGAGAGGGAGCCCATCCTCATCCATCTCCTCAGCGGGCGGGGGACCCAGGGCTCACCCCCAAACCCCTCCCCGGCCCGACCCGCCCAACCCGGTAATAGCGTCCGAACGCCTCTCCCAGTCCCCGCCTCCCGGTCCCGGGAAAGGCCGGAAGGAAACGCCTCCTCCCGCCAATCACTCGGCGCCTTCCAGAGAGCCTGCCCATTCGCACGGCATTCTGGGAATGGTAGTTCCCGCTCCGGATTGTGACGTCGAACAAGGGGGCATCGGGTGGAGCAAGGCTGTAGTCTAGCAAAATCTTAACTACTTACCTCCAGTCTGCCCCCACTCCAAAAAAAAAAAAAAGTAAACCGTGGGAGTCTGTTTGAGTTTATCCCTGCTTAGTCTGGTGTGGTATATATGCAGCTAAGTTATTCGTTAATTAAATATATATATATATATACACACAAATATATATATTTAAACTTAAATGCCAGGTACTCTGCTAGGCCTTGTGGTGAATACAAAGGTCGAATGCGGTTTAGCATATGTATCTACCTAGAGAACTATAGAAACATTATCTTAAGTTGGAAAATTGACAAAAATGTTTTTTTCAAAGTGCTCTTTAAAAAAGAAAAGAAATATAGTGCTATGAGATGTAATTTCTAGTTAACAGAAAAGAGGGAGTGTCTCTCCATCTCCTAGGATCCTTGGTGATTAATGTTCATCAATCATCCATAGCTCCTGACGACAGTGCCACTCAAAACTGAATTTCCAGGACTGTTAAAACAATATCTAGAAGTTCTGGACAACTGCCAGAAATCCTCTGGAATATATAATCATTTCTCTCATTGGATTTCACTTATCGCACTAAATTCTGGAGACAAAGCAAGTAAATTGTAATGAATACTGATTTTAGAAGTCAGACATTAAAAATGCCACCTGCATATATCCATTAAATTAAAAAGTCTTTAAGAATCTTTTAATAGTTATCTTTGTTTTCATAGCAGATAACTAGAAAGTCACTTTTATCGTGAATCAGTTCTTAGGTGGGGGAAATGAGACTGGGTTCCTATTTTTTTGTTTTTCTTCTCTGCTTCAGGATGAACAATTAGAGTAGTATAGTATTGGTTCAGCATAGTGGGAAAATAAATTTAAATACCCCCTACCTCTGCTCCCTGCTTCCCCCAGGAGTGATGCTGTGCTTAGATCACTCAGATGTGTCCGATTCTTTGTGACCCCATAGACTGTAGCCTGCCAGGCTCCTCTGTCCGTGGGGATTCTCCAGGCAAGAATACTGGAGTGGGTTGCCATGCCCTCCTCCAGGGAATCTTCCCAACCCGGGGGTCGAACCCAGGTCTCCTGCATTGCAGGCAGATTCTTTACCTCTGAAGCCCAAGAATACCGGACTGAGTAGCCTATCCCTTCTCCAGGGGATCCGTCTGACCCAGGAATTGAAGTGGGGTCTCCTGCATTGCGGGCGGATTCAATCATCTATTGGGACTTGGTTAAGTAAAGGAATTCTAGCCGTTTTATTCATTCTAGGCTAGATATAATCTAACCTAGTTAAGAATCCATTGTTTTAGGCTCCTTCTTTTAATTGTGCCTTTCTTAACTTCACTCTGAAAGTTGGGTTGTGGGCTTTTGTAGGCGGTAGTCCCTAAAAAGTAGATTACCTCAGGAGAAGATATTTGGAGATATTTACTGTTGGGGGGCCCAATAAAACCACATATAGCCTAATGATGGAGGTCCTTTTGCTATGTTGTTCCCTGGGATTTAACTTACGTAGTTGATGCGTGATGACTGAAAGGTAATTACCATTGAAAGAATGTTATTTATGTTTCCCAAGAGAAGCGGACACGTGATGCCACGCAGGTTGTAGGGGAAACACCAAATTTTGGTTGGGAGGTAGACAGAAGCAAGAGCCAGGGGAAAGCCTATGCCATATCCTTTACTGTGATTTCTGTGGTTGAAAGGCAAGGCAGGACAGGAGAAACAGGTGAAGACTGGCTGGTGTGAGTAATTCCAGTGGGTTTAGGGCACAGGAATTGTCCCTTTTGTCTGTACCTCTCCCTGGGTTGAATTATGGCAGGGGAAATATTGGCTTGGTGTAAAAGTTTAGATAAGGGGGTGGTTGGGGGTAATGGGCTCAGATTGGTTGGTTTGTGTATGAAAAATGTGCTTGCAAATAAATTGTTTGACTAACTTTGGGAATTAGCTAGTCCTGGTAGATGCTTGTCTTTCCCAGGATCTTTAAGTCCACAAACGTCAGCGCTTCAGGGATACAGAAATTTATATATATAATGTTATATATATAGTTACATATATTTACATATAATTATACATATAATTAATATAACTGTTTATGTGATGAATATCTGCTAAAAACACAATTACAGAAACCGAGGAAACACAGAACACTCATGTTCAGTATATGACCTTTCAGGTAACAGTTTCAGAAAGGCACCTCACTTCTGGGACTAGAGCCTCATTCAGTTTCTCAAGAAGTGATCAGAGGGGAAGGAGTAGCTGCCTGGCTATGGAAACCATGGGGAGGGTATTTAGGAGACAGTGTCTAATCATCCCTTATCCAACTCTCAATTAAACCTCCTGTTTTAATAACCCCTAAAACATTGCACCCTGCTTCTGAAGAACTGGTGCTCCCCCATCCAAGTGTCATCTAAATTGTCACTTCTTTTAGTCCATAAAGCACCTTGCTTTCATCACTCATTTGATACCTAACACATTGTGACCATGTGGTATTGTTAGCCTCTTTATAATTTCTTTGAGATCACAGGCCAGTTTCCATTTCTGTGTTGATGTTAAGTTGCTCAGTCATGTCTGACTCTTCGTGATCTCATTGACTTCAGCACACCAGAATTCCCTGTCCTTCACCATCTCCTGGAGTTTGCTCAAACTCATGTCCATTGAGTCAGTGATGTCATCCAACCATTTCATCCTCTGTCATCCCCTTCTCCTCCTGCCTTCAAACTTTCCCAGCATCAAGGTCTTTTCAAATGAGTCGGCTCTTCGCATCAAGTGGCCCAAGTATTAGAGCTTCAGCATCAGTCCTTCCAATGAATATTCAGGATTGTTTTCCTTTAGGATTGACTGGTTCGATCTTGCAGTCCAAGGAGTCCATTTCTTTATATTCTCTTATACCTGTTACAGAGCCATGCACATGATAGCAGAATCTGCTTATTTTTAGGTTAAGAATTTATTATTAAAAGGGAAATATTTATTTATGGAAAACATAAAGGAAAAAGCATAGGAAGGAAGAATGTAACCCACAATCACTCTTCTTAGAACTAACCATTACCATTTTGAAAGAGCCAAGGTATGTTTATCTTGAATTCCTAAGCAGATTTTTTTCCTTTTTCCCCATTGTTGGGGGTATAAATGAGGCAGGCTTCAGTCATTAGCTTTGTACATCTTCTATAGTACCCTGTCTTCTTCACAGAATAACCTTCTCCATTTATTTAAAAAAAAAAAAAGCAAATGATGCCACTATGAGCTGCTTCTAATTAATCTCCTCTGGCAGTTTCAGTAAATGACTCAGCACCTGGACTCCAGAAAGCAGTCAGGTTACTTTGAATCACAGCCTCATAAAATCACTTAACACTGCTCTCTAAGTTCAGTGTCAACATTTCTTCATGTGCCTTGTGTCTAGAATTCAAAATGATCATGTTTGAAACTTTTCTATTACCCTCTAAAAAATGACTGGGCCAGAAGGTATGAACCAGTTAGTCTAGGAAAGTGGTTCACAATATTTTCCAGTATGAGAAGCTGTTTTTAATAGAAAAATAAATGTTGAGGAGCCCCAGATGATTGTGGTTCTATATTTAATATTTGTTGAATAAATACATATACATTGTTGAGGATTTAAAATGAGAATATTAAATGGAAATGGGTTAACTATATTGGAAATCCATCTTAAAATCCCAAGATTTCATTCAAAGATAGTATTTCAATTCCTTTTATTTTCTAGGCCAGGTCCTGTTCGTTTTCCTGTAATATATCCTGCTTTAGAAAATCTTGCCTTACATATTACATAGGCAGGGATAAAGTATTCTAGTTTTCATCTGAACTCGAGCCAAACCTTGGGTCACAGAATAGGTATCAAGATGACAGGCACACCTTGATGTATCTGGGAACTTTTTTAACACTCTCAAGAATTCTGGAGATCTTCAAAAGCCAGTCTCTTTGAACTGGAGGGAAGGCCTCATTGGCATGCTCATTCCTTCTACTGTTAATGGGTGTTTTGGGGGAGGAAGTGGGAAATGGCAGGACACTTGAGGTCAATGTCTGTTAGAATTATGTGGGCAGTTTGATTTGGGGGCCATCTATGTTATCTTAGGACCCGAGGAGTTCATAGCTTCCAAGGAAGAAGAGGATTATAATAGGGGTAAGATGATTGAGAAACTCTTCCAATACTTTAATATTCTCCCATTTATTTGCCAAGAACAGGTTGGGAAGCAATGACCCAGGGTTTCGTAAAGATTATACACACATGCGAACACATCTTAGTTACTGTGGTAGGTGGGTAAAATGATAGGGAAAGGAATAGGTCAAAAACACTGACAGAATTTCAGAATTGCTCCATGGGGCCTAGTACATGGGTTAATGTCCTTGGGGTGGGGAGGTCCAGGATGGGCTGAGACTTCTGAAGCAGCTAGCTGTATGTATGATCAGGTTTTGTACTGTCCCAGGGAAATCTCATTAGAACTCTACAGACTTCAAGTGAAGTATGCTCGCACAGATGTTCTCTTTAGTACATCAACTTGGAGAGAATGGAGCAACATTAGCTGTTCACAACACAGCTTGAGGCACTTGTGTCCAACTTTCAGGAGGATCAGTCCTAACATTTAGCTAAGTAGCTAAAATGCCAGAGAATTTAAATCTTAATGGAACCCTCTTCCCCCACCCCCTTTTTTGGTAGGCTGGAAACCAAAGTGAGCCAAGCTATTATACAATAATTATAATAAAACATGGGCTTCCTTGGTGGCTCACCTGGTAAAGAATCTGCCTGCAGTGCTGGAGACCTCGGTTCATCCCTTGGGTAGGGGAAGATCCCCTGGGGAAGGGAACAGCTACCCACTCCAGTATACTGGTCTGGAGAATTCCATGGACTATTCCATGGGGTAACAAAGAGTCGGACCCAACTGCATG